AGCACACACACGGAACACACACACAAGGAGCACACACGGAGCACACAAACACGGAACACACACACAAGGAGCACACACGGAGAACACACACGGAGCACACAAACACGGAACACACACACAAGGAGCACACACGGAGAACACACACACAAACACGGGATTACAAGCAAAGCAAAGGTATTGTGTAAACGGTAATATCGTGCGGTGAATATGGAAAGAAACCAGTAAAATGGAAATAAATGGACTGTTTCAAACTGGAAACTTTGTTTCTGACCTTTATTCGGCAGCAAACTTTTGTGCGTCAATTACACCCACCAAGCGGATCCTCAGAGGCTTAAAGCGTTGGCTTAGCCTCTACAACTAGTTTAGGTAGTTTGAGAGGTCATTAAAATAGCTACGTGTGATTTTCTAACCTGAAGTTTGTGTTTCGCTCCGCTCACCGCTGCAGGTGATTATGCAGAGCTGCGTGTCGACTCGTCAGCAGCAGCTGATCTCTCTCTCCCGTCAGATTAGACTTCACTCGCGTTTATGTCCATATCGATCAGATCCAGCTAGTTCTAGCTAATGATATGACTACTGTACCTGCTTATCAAAGACAATAAGCGTCGCTATGCAACTGGGTGAGGCCGCAAAGTATAGCGCAGCATTATGCATTTGTTTACATGCCCACCGGAACCCCGAGGCATTACCAACAGATCAACGCACAATCAACCCACACAGGACATCTCTTTCTCCACATTAAGTGTTAGACATTAGAATTGACTATTCTTGTCGGTCACATACTCTTCTTGTTTGTCACATAAGTTAGACCCTCCAGAAAAACGCGGGCTAAAATCCTTGATTATGCGATCAAACATGCAGGGTTTTATGTGATTTTATGCGGTGAAATTGCGGGAAGTTGCGAAATATGCGGAAAAAATTAATATTGGGCTGTCTTATTTATTCTCTCTCACACACAACCTGCCACTAACGTTAAACCCCTTTACTATTCAATTAAACACATTCAATGTTTATTTATTGTAAAAGCAATTGGGCTATTTTAATCACACACTCTCTCTCTCTCACACACACACACACTTACTTCTCCGCCTCATTATGTTTTCATTTACTTGTTCATTATCTGACCAGCTTCAATCTTGTAGGCTTCTCACCTCGTTTCTTGTAGCCCTCGAAAGGGTTTTGGAGGTTGATGCCTCGGTGAACGTGAGTTGTTTGGCTTTCTTGTCCGCAGCAGCAGAAAGCATTTTCGAATGTTTGAATGAATCAAAGTGGGTCGTCACCGTCGATGTTCTCTTATGCTCCAACACACAGTTGCACGGGGTGCAGAATAGTTTCCCCCCACTTTCGTGCAAGACATCGGGGTACTGCTTTGCCCGGTCTTTAGCAGAAATGTTCATCGGTAAATGAGATGGATTAGATTTTTTCATCTTGGTGTTTTCTCTCTCGTGTGAGCTCCACACGTTCACTCTACGGTGTTGTTTACCTTCTGTGATGCGCGAGCTGATGACGTTACGTCATCATCACTTCACGTCAAGACGAGTTAACTTTTTTTTCTTCTCAACTTTGTGTGGAATAATGCGGGGATTATGCGGCCTTTTGATAAATATGCGATCGCAGAATCGCGTTTTTCTGGAGGGTCTAATAAGTGGCGCAACTGATGCGGTATTGCGCTAAGGGGAAATTATTTTGACCGGAGAGATTTAGATAAGCGGTCTTCAGCATATTTTACCGGTCAAAGTCCGGTAATTACCGGCTAACGGAAACTCTGATATGTGGTACATTTGGTGTTGTTTGTTTATTTTATATCTTAATTTTAAATGATTGCCCATTGTGTTCTCACCAGGGTGCAAAAAAGCTGAGCTATGCAGAGGTTTGCCAGAGAATGGCCAAGGACCCACCAGCAGCACAGACGCCCTCTCCCTCCCCCCCTGCCTCCTCCGCCGGCCAACCCCTGCAGGAGCTCAAGGTCAACAGAGTCGAGGAGCATCGGCCCAACTCCAGGCGCACTACAGAAAACCGAGAGAAACACGGAGACAGCCGCCCCCCTCGTCAACCACTGCGCTCCTTCAGAGGGGCGAATGGCCAAGTACGACCTGGAGGGCTGAAGACGCGGGAGAATCAGAGAGGCTTGAGTAATGCTGGCAAACCTTTCTCCCCACAGCGGGGAGCCGCCAGACGCAGTGGCAAAGAACAGAACATTCCCCCAAGGTCACCAAAATAACTAAAGAAAAGGGAACCTATAAACATGGACTTTAACAGAAACTAAAACTATATATGTAAATATATAATATATGTAAATACACAGATGAATATATTTCATTTGACAGACTTTTTCAATTAATCTAGTTGCAGACCTGAAATTATTAAGAAAGACTTAGTAGTTATACCTTTTTGAGGTTAAATGCATCTATTCTGCTGACAGAATGGATAACAAAAAAAATACTGTGCTTCAAATTATATCACAATGAAGTTCTCAAAAGATGCCTCGTCAAACGGGCTAATTCTGTATTGTGTTTTAGGTGAGAGATGGATCCTGTTACTTTTAAAATATAAGGTAGTCTAACATCTAAAAAGCTCTGCCAACACCCGAAATGATTAAGGCACATTTTCTTCTCCGCATGTTTATTGTTGGCATATTCATCTTGAGCTTTCTTGTCATATTTGTTTTGCGTTGAAATCAAGGATCTATGATTATTTATAGAATAGAGAATTGAATCCATGACGGAATCGTAGAAACAGGACTGCGATTCACTACTGATTTTAACTTTGAATTTATGAGTAATTGAATACTGAATACTTTTTGTCGATCCACAAATAATGTTTGTGAAAACAAACTTACATGGATTCAGAAAATGGTGGTGTGTAATGATTAGATTTTTGCGATGCAGATATTGGATCAAAACCACTGACATTTGAACTAAGCCCTGTAGTAGGGCTGCTTCTTTGCTTTTTCTACAGGAATTAATTTGTGATTGAACTAGTGTTTTAAACCCTTTCTTGTAAAAATTGTATTTTTGAATACTCATGAGTTAGTGATCATCCTAATGACCTACTGTTTCTGAGGATTATTAGATGTAAGCAGAATGAATGTCTTAATGTTTTTATCTAATGTCAGTAATGTTGTTGTGTGTCTCTGAAAGCTAGATTACAGGGTTTGGTGGCTGATTTTGGTTTAAGGCCCAGATTCTGTTCTAGCTAATTCTTAATTTTGATTATCTTGATTTTTTTTTTTAGAGTAGGATGGTTAATCATGAAGTATGAGCTGTTTTTTAATCTGCGACTAGCATTTGCATGATAATTACTAAAACAAATTGGATGATCTAAGGATCTCAGAATTACACATTTAATTTGAGTTTGTGGCTTCCTGTTGATGAACTGTTTTAATGTTGATGCCATGGCCAGTGTCTAAACTTGATTTGCAGACATTGAGTGCCTGCATCATCTGTTTTGATTTAATAGATGAGACTTCAAACGAATTTAGTCCTTTTGGCAAAAAGATACACTTGAGTTTGATTTTGTAAATGTCTATGTATCAGCTTGCCTTGAGCTTGTGTGTGTATATACGGATTTATTTTTGGGTTAATTTCCTTGTTTTTTCTGCTGACGTGTTTAATTTTCTATCTAGTCATGTTTTTCTCATGTTATTGAATTTAAGTGTAATATTGGTAAATGTGTGTGTAGATTGATCTGAGAAAAGATACTTGGATATGGACATCTGAGATGGATATATAGAAGTAGGAAACACGTTTCATAGAAATGCTCAATTTAAGCTTAAATGTCTTTCGATTTTGTGTTTTCATTTCAACAAAAATAGTCTGATGTTGTACATGGAAATGAACAACAGATGAGTAAGGATAAGGAATTACAGATTTTCAGCATCGAGGGTTAAAAACCATTTCTTTTTGGAGTTCTAATCGTGTTTTTTTTTTTTTTTAAAGTTCTCAGCTTGTAGGGACTGCAATGTAAATTATCGTGTCTTGTAATCAGCAGTTAAAATGTCATGTCCTAGTAAATGTGTATGAAAGATATTGCTTCTTCAAACTACATGGAACAATAATATCAAACCAAACCCCCAGTGCCTTTTTAACAGTGTTTAATTACAGTATAAAGAGTGCAAGAATTGTGAACACATCAATTTGTCAGACTAAACAAGGCTGGTTAATTGGTTGTAAAGATCCTGCATTATCTGTGTATGACACTTGGGTACACTAGTTCCTCCCCAATGTTAATCTCAGTTTATTGTGGGTGCAGGGCTGGGGCTGGTTGGAGTTCAGCTTAATGTGTGTGCATGCCTGTTCATCATATGTCTATGATACAGTTGATTTTGTTAGCTTGTCAATGCAGTTTTAGGCCTATTATAGAATACTGCTTGTTACTCACAATGAAACAAATTACAGCCAAGTACACACTGGTTTAATAAGTGAATATGTTATTGCTAAGCCTAAGGTATGAAAATAAAGATTTATTTTTAAAACAGCCGTGTCTTGTACGTTGTATGTTTGCATCACATTATGTTGGTGAAGCAGATGCGATTGAAGTTTCACATACATTGGATGTGAATATCATAACTACCAGACACCTAATTGGTGACCGGCTTGTTTTCTTCTATTTAAAACGAATTGTTTTTCTTTTAATAGGCAAAACTGCCAGGACAGACATGCACATTGTCACTGTCCTGCCACACCAGAAAGGCAGTGTCAAAGGATTTCTACATGACATCTGCCAAGTAACTATCCGGAAATAGACTAACTTTATGTAACTGTTGTGGTTCTAACTTCTAAGCATATTTGGTTTTAGACTATTGAGTGAGTTTGTAGAGAGTTCAGTGATGCTTGACAACAAATAGCATTTAAACAAAGGCCAAATAATAGTTAATAATATATTAACATACAAATAATGCAAATATTTTAGTTAAAAAATATTGGTGGATAAACGTTCACGTTTCCTCCTCACGTCAATCTTGTTACGTAACACTGCCATGTTCCAACTCTCGCGCTGTTTTGCTGATGGAAGTGTCAGAGTGTCAACAAGCAGCAGCATACTGTCCGGAGCAGGGAGGAGGGAGTCCAGAGGATATTTAAACGTCGGTGAGTTTACTCACATTTATGACCATCCAACGTAAAATGTGGTATTTTGCGAAGTTAATTCAGTCAATTTGAATGAAACGTGATGTTTTTGGGCGATCGTAGCTCAGTTTATGAGCACAGCTTGTTTAGCTTTAGCGTGCTAACGGTTAGCTACTAACTTGGCGGACCAGTGTGAACGGCTTCGGTTAGCAGTTAGCATTAGCTTAGCTTGCTGTGTTGTGACTGTTATCTACACCACACGTTCCGCTTGGAGAGGCGAATCCGTTCGTCCTTTATAGGTTATTAGTTTCCATTATGTAAGCTTCCACGTTCTTCATAAAGACACGGCTGTCAGGTTTCAGTAATCAAATATATTGGTGTGGTTAGCCATAGGGTTATGCTAGCTAAAGGCCCGTCTCTCATAAAGTAGGGGCTAACGGAAGAATTGGCACTTAGGTTAACCTATCTACAGTCCGTAACCTAAGCTAGCTACACAGTGGAACGACCTCGAGTGAGAGCCAGCTAGCGCCAATGGCTTGATGACACTGTGGGGTGGATTGCATAGTAGCTTGCTTTGGCTCTGCTGCCTTGTCGCTCCCGTTTGGCGTTAGTCCCTGATTTCCTGAAAGAGCGAACCTATGTTCCTTCAGGCCGACAGTCTCCGGCCTGTTTACCTCCTAACCAGTTGTCACTTGGGTGTTTTCTTTAGTGACAGGAGAGCACATGCAATTCATGGCGCAAAACAGATTGTAGTTCTCAACAGGTGAATGGCAGTCATGCTGTATAGTCTGATGTTGTAGTGTGTTACATTAGCATGTTAAAAACACAAGCTAACATAAATAATAGTCAGACTTTGAGTATATTCTGGTTACACTATTGACATTCAATTGCTTTTAAACATGACCAGAAATGAACAGCTTTGTGCCTAACTTGAGCATCACTAGCTGTAATGCTCCATATGTATAACATGATACAGACAATAACAAGTTGCTGTTTCTTGCTCTTTTTTGCAGAACATTTGTCTGAGATGGGGGATGATCGACCTTTTGTTTGCACTGCCCCTGGGTGTGGGCAGGTATGAATTCTGAACGCATTGATTAATATGCATCTCTTTATAACACCCTCTTTCACTCTATTTACATTTGACACCTCTAAGCCTCCAACTTGAAAATCTTAAACACATCATCGCCTGTTTCTTATTACTACATGGGCTCATTGCAATTTATCTAACAGCTAACTTAACAGTTAATGTACTGTACAAATGCCAAAGTAGTCAGGGATCATTCCCTACTTCACTGTGGACCATCTGCACTAAAGCAAGTGTTATTGTTCATCTTGCATCTATAAAAAAGAGCTTTTGATGAATTATTGGTCACCTGTAGCAACACAGTAGTAGTAGTAGTACTACTACTTATGCTATGCTTTTCTTTTTTACATTGTATACTATTGGATATCTAAATGTATATGCTGTGTTATTTACTTTGCAGAGATTCACCAATGAAGACCACCTGTCAGTCCACAAACACAAGCATGAAATGACATTAAAATTTGGTCCTGCCAGAACAGACACTGTTATCATTGCAGGTAATTCCAATATCATTTACTTAAGAATGTGTTACATTAAAGCTGAACTGAAGAGTTATCAACTTCTCAATGTTCTGAAGACCTGTATCAATTTACTACGGTGATGTCTGTTGTTGGTAGGGAGCAATTTATGTCCTGTAACCCCCTGAACTAACATGATCTATTCTTTGTTTCTCTGATCCATTTTTTGCAGATCAGACACCCACACCCACACGTTTCCTAAAGAACTGTGAGGAGGTTGGGCTTTTCAATGAGCTAGCGACCTCCTTTGAACATGAGTTTTCCAAAGCACACGAGGACGACCAGAGGAATAGAAGGGTGAATGACTAGAACACTGTTGTTTTCCGTATAACATAAAAATAGTGAGACTATTTTATTATTTTACATGAACTGAAAGGGTATCTCCTGCTCTATTCAGGCTGCACCTTTACAAACGCCATCTGAGGTAAAAGTTGAAGATGATGTTCCTTTACAAGTGGATTCCTCCTCTCCTGGAAGTCCGGATTCCTCCTCCAGCATGTCAGACAACAGCAGAGACTCGAGCATGAGAGGAGGAAAGGTACAGTCCCAAAGTGTTATTGCATGCTGATAGCACGCTGGTTCATGGATTTGCTCTTGTTCATGAGTTGCCATTTGAAAATCAATAATTTGTTCTCTATTCATGCATTCATGGTATTATTATATTTCTCCCCAGGAGATTCTAACGAAGCTGGTTGCCAGCTCTACCCCCACTCCAACCATTGTGCGCCCAGGTTCTCTTCCACTTCACCTTAGCAATGACGCGCTGAACCCCACTATGCCATCTCCAACGTCTGTCATCACTCAAACACCGCCCTCCAACAGACAGCTCGGGTAATCTGCAGTGTTCACATTTCTTGAGGCCTACGACTGTATTTGCTCAACATCCTAACATTGAGGTTGTTCCAGGGGAAATCTACACTGTCTTGGAGTGCTGTTTGATATTAGCATGTGGGAACATTGATATAGTCTACTTTTATCAAGAGGTTTGGTCAGAAAATGTATTTGTCAACACACAGTGCAATAAGTGGCCAAGTGTGCTTCATTTTTTATTTGTCTGTTTGAGGTACAGTTTATATATTTCTCCATCATTCTCTGCTTCCTAATCTACAAGCGCAGTGGAAACAGGGTGGAGGCTAACTCTCCTCTTTAGCTCCATATTGCTGCAATTCTCCAGAGACTGGCTAAGTTACGCCTACTTTTGAGAGATCAAATAAAATCCCTCTCAAAAGGATACCTCACCCACATATGTTGCTCCAACTGCTGTTTCTTTGGGTACAGTTAGCACTAAGACACAGAGATTGTGGAAAAAATAAAATACTTTGTAAACCTGGTTCTCAATCTGTATTTTGTCAAAGGGCACAGAACGGAGAATTTGAGAATTTACTGTTCTTGTCAACAGATCCCCAACAAGTGCTTTTCCACTGGTGAGGCACCTCTCCAATGGGCAAACAATCCCTCTACTGCCCAGTCCCTCTCAGATGACCTCCGTTATATCTGTAAGCTTTTTACAAAACTTGGCACAAATGTATAAAAAAGGATTCTCTTAAAATGTACAATTTTGTGTCTGTTTCTCTCTTTCTCTCTCGTCTATGCGTGGTCATTTGTAGCTTGCGAGGCCATTGAACTCTGTGCCTTACATCCCTGGGATTCCAGGGCCTCCAGTTGGCGGAGCCAGCAGCGGCTCATCCTCCCCGTCTGGGTATAGCCTGCACTCCGAGGCCAAGATGGTGAGATGGTCACTCATGTTGGCATAAGTTTGTAGGCGGCAGGCCCTGAAAAGCTGTTGTATTATGTGACAATTGCTTCTCTATATTGCGTCTTTTAGTGAGCGTAAAGTAAAATGTTCTTCATGGAGTGTTATTTGTGTGTCTTTATAGAGGCTGAAGGCAGCTCTCACTCACCAGGGCCCAGGAGCACAAGATGGAGCTGGTGGGGGGGCAGGATCTAACCCTGCTGTCCCTCAGCGACAGGAACAGAGCCAACAACCATCTCAAAACTCTGACGCACCATCACCTGCCCAACCCCAGGTAATAAATGAGAACCTTTTATTGAGAAGACTATCTAATAATAATAATAATAATAAATGATATTTATATAGCGCCTTTCAAGGGACCCAAGGTCGCTGTACATGGTGGACAAACTAAACAAACAGACAATCAATGGGCAAACCAAATAAATAAATAAAGGAAGCCAGGGGACCAGAAAAGTGTTTTTAGTGATAATTTGAAGATGTCCAGGGAGGCAGCATTACGGATCTCGGCAGGAAGTGCATTCCAGAGGGTGGGGGCCGCAACACTGAATGCCCTGTCACCAACAGTTCGGAGGCGAGAGCGGGGGATGGAGAGCAGGCCCGTGTCTGAGGACCGCAGACTCCGAGAAGGGGTGTAGGGATGGAGGAGGTTCGATAAGTACTGGGGGGCGAGGGTATGGAGGGACTTGTACGTGAGGATGAGTGTTTTGTATTGAATCCGGGACTTGACCGGCAGCCAATGTAGGTGGATGAGGGTGGGGGTGATATGGTGCCACGGCTTGGTGTGGGTGAGAAGCCTGGCGGCAGAGTTCTGGAGGTATTGGAGCCTATCCGGGGTTTTGCTGGGAACCCCGGACAGGACTCCATTGCAATAGTCCAGACGGGATGTAATGAAGGCGTGTACAAGGGTTTCTGTCACAGAGTCAGAGAGTGAAGGCCGGATTCTGGCAATGTTTTTTAGGTGGTAGAAGGCGGATTTGGTGACAGATTTGACGTGCGCCTGGAAAGAGAGGGTGGTGTCCAGGATGACTCCCAGGTTGCGGACTTCAGTGGACGGGGAGATAGAGCAGCCGTCAATGGAGAGAAGCAGGTCTCCAACCTTCTGGAGCTGCGTCTTGGGAGCCACAATCATGAGCTCTGTTTTATGGCTGTTGATTTTGAGCAGGTTTGATGACATCCAGTTTTTTATGTCCTGTAGGCAGTTGACAAGGGATTGAGGGGGGAGCTGAGTGGACGGTTTGGTGGAGAGATAGAGCTGTGTGTCATCAGCATAAGAGTGAAAGCTGAGACCATGTTGGCGGATGATTTGACCAAGTGGGAGCATGTAGATATTGAATAATATCATAATAAGCCATCTTTTTGCCTAAACAAGGAGTATATCAAATATTATCTTATAATAGTATTTTTATTTATTGAGCCAGTGTTGTAGATAGACAGTTGAATTTATATTTATTAAAGGTTATTTGCCCAACAAGGTGAAGTGAGATTTTTGGATTTACTTAGGTTTTTTATTTGTCTTTGCTCACCGCACCTCCCTGCCCATTTTCCAGGTGTCCCCTGCTCAGCCAACAGGAGGCCGGCGGCGGCGAGCTTCAGAGATGGACCCTGATGAGAGGAGGGAGCGCTTCCTGGAGAGAAATCGGGCGGCCGCCTCCCGTTGCAGGCAAAAACGAAAAGTGTGGGTTAACTCTTTGGAGAAAAAGGCAGATGATCTGGTCAACATGAATGTGTCTCTTTCGGTAAGTCGTCCACTTCCCAGTCCAGGGTTGTATCCAGAATTTAAACAGGGTTCATATTCGGCTTGGAAAAGTGTGAAATAGGATCCATGTTTAAACATGAACAGAGATTGGTCATGCAAATGATTTGGATATTTTGTGTTGCCATCAGAATGAAGTGGGGCTACTGAGGAACGAGGTGGCACAGCTGAAGCAGCTCCTCCTGGCCCACAAAGACTGCCCGGTCACTGTTATGCAGAAAAAGGCAGCTTTCTTAGGTAACCATTGAGCTGCAAACAAGAATCCTGCGCTGTATCTTTTTCTTTCGTCAGGATCCATCTATCACCTCATCCATCTAATGTGTTCTTTTTACTCGCTCACCTCTCTTAAGGGTGAATGTTTCTTTCTCTGTCTATAGCTGCAGGAGGAGAGGAAACCTCCAGGGATACTTCCAGTGAACCCATCGGCTCCCCAGCGGCGGTCATTCAGCACGGGCCGTCACCAACCGCCTCGGCCTCCAGCCCAGTTGCCACCATCAACGGGCTGAGCGTCCGTGCTGCAGAGGCGGTGGCCATGTCGGTCTTGGCCGGCATGGGGTCAGGCCAGCCGGGGGGTGTTGTAATGGCAACTCAGTCACAGTCGACCCAGAGATGATGTGCTGACGCAGGTAGCCGGTATGAAGTGGCATTCTGAGGCAGTACTGGTGATGTAAAAGAGAAACTCACCCTCAAACCCCACCCCAGACTAAGATACACTCGTCCCCTCACAGCCAATGATAATCACACAAAGACACGGCCCAGTGCCTCCGTCAACCCTCCAGTCCCAGCAGGCTCCCTGTTAAGAGACGCTTGGGCACTCTCTGTATGTAAATATGAACAACACGTCAAACACTCGCTCTTAAGTTTGTAGTCATTTCTTGTTCATTAGTGACAGTTGAAGGTATACATTTGGATGAAAAGTATGTAGGAAAAAGTTAATTTTACCTAAAAATAAATGTTCAGTACAACTTCAGTCCCACACACTGGCTGTGATGAGGTTGGTTGCTTTCCAGGCTGACAATTGTATTTTTCATTTGTATGAAAAGATTGTTATGCCTGATACTGGTATTCGACATAATGTTTGCTGATGCAGTGAAAGTATGGTGAGAGATTGGCTGGCTGATTTCAGTAAAAGTCAGCCTGGAATTTTTTTACGTGGTCTTTTTGTTGTTTACTTTTCAATCTGACCATTTGTGTTCTCTTTAAACACACATGACGGTTTAGTCAGCCGAGTGCAAAAAACAAAAACAAATTGTAGATGTGTACACAGTTTATCCTGTGAGTGTGTGCCTGACTTTTTTTTACCATCAATTTTAACCTAATTGGAATGTATGTCTCTTTACATTAGTCGTGTATGTATCAAACCCTATTGACTGCATGGATTACTCGAGGCTGAAGAATACCACTGTTTGTGCTTCATCATACTATTACTGTTTATTGTTATGCTTTTCTTCGGTTTTAAACATCAATTTACTGATGCAAAAATTGTCCTCGTTATATACGGATTTAATCCTCAGTCCTCATGTAACACTCTTGAAATAGTTAGCTTTAGATGGCCTTCAAATGATAATCAGACATAATAGATAATAAATCATTTACCCTGGCATTTCATTTGAGGAAAAGAGTAGTGCAATATATTTTTCTATTGAATATCAATGTTCTTGCATTTATTTGTTGTCTATAGCCCAGCCGCTGAGAGGGGTTTCATCCATTTCAGTTGAAAGCTAAAGTTAGGTGACCAGAGGAAATGTGATAATGAATATTTTTGAATGAATGAGATTAGTGATTAGTGCAGATCTGTAGAAACTTAAAGATGTCCTTGTCCTGGGTGCTTTCCAACATTTGAAAAGCTCTCTTGTATCATGAGACTCAAATAGTTGTGCGAGGTGCTTCTTTTGAAATTTAAGTTTTGAAATGTATATTATTTTATACCACAGTGTACTTCCAAGACTATCATTTCCTCCCCCCCTCCTTGTCATTCTGTGTTTGTTTTTTTTAATAACGTCATTGTTTTTTTAAGATGTTTATTTTTTTCTCTGTGGGCATGTCAGACTTTTTTTCCCATCATGTGATTTGTATGTCCCTTTTATTTTTGTTTAAGAGCATAGATGTATTGAACCACATGAAAACATGTTTCTATCTGTATGGAGAGTTTGTCGAATACTCAGGCTTCAAGATGGGAAAATTACTTGTGTATAGTCTCAATTTATGAATACAATGTCTTGAGCAAATATTAAAATAAATTAATGAAAAGGAAACCATAATCAGAATGTTCCCACCTATCCCCACTTTGTGCCTCTTGTATTGCAGAAATTGCTGTGTTCAGCCTCCCAAATATGGAATTTTTTCTCTTTTAGTTCATCATTAACTTACTTCCTTTTATAGAAAAAATGATTAATTGACAGATGAATTGCAAATGAAGATAATTGCAACTTGCAACCCTGCTATTCAACTTGAAAGTTGACACAACTGTAGAGTTGTGCGTACATCTTCTTTCTACAGGGCCTGACCCAACTGAGGCCCGTGGCAAGATTCTGGTATGGCCCCTAAGATATGTGAATTATATACATTAAGGTTAGGTTTTGTATAAAATACTAAATGTAGAAAAAAATCAATGTATAACAGAGCATTGGCTGTGCTGTAGTTGCTAATGATCAAGCATGTTCTTTACTTAAAAAAACATAAGCGAAGCACCCATATATCATAGATGATGCTATGATTACAAACAGCTGCATTTGGCTCATTTGAACCAACTCCCCCAGCTCACCTTCTACACATTTTAAAATATAAATTATGCTATGGTTTGGCTAAATACTGTGGTTATTGTTCAGGATAAACCTTTATTAATCCCTCTAGCAAAAGTGAGGTGTATGTATGAGCAGCAACAGCATCAAGTGTAAAACACAGAATAGGTCAGATACGTTTACACAAAGAACATAATAATACAAATTTCAATAGAAATGTTACAATAGGCTATAAAGGAATTGCAATGGATGACAAGTTCATCCTTGTTGCCCAATATATCAATTACAATTATATATTAAATATTTAAGAAAATGTATTTCAACCATTCTTCATTAAATAATAAACTTAGTCTTAACTTGTACACGTTGAGCACATGGATTTATAAAGAGAAGAGATTGAGCGCAGACATAATTTCCGGCAGCCATCTTTGTTTAGTTCGGCCACAGCATGCCTACCGCAATTGAAACAGTTTAAATATATTTAACTTGATCTTTTATTGTGCGCAAGGATGTTTACTTATCCTCCGGATGGTAATGTGACTTTTTCTAAGAGGTATTTAGTAACCTACGGTATTAAGGGTTGTTTTAAGACTATAAGAGTTTTTTTCCAAAGTTTACACTGGTTATTTTCCGGGAAAGCAGAAGCTAACTGTTAACTTTGGGGCTCCGGTGTTATGTTAAATTATGAGAGGCACAAATTGGGGCTAGTTTTCCACCTGAGGGGAGGGTGGCAGGTGAGTTGGCTCTAGAGCTGTTTCTCCTCCCAGCTGTAAAAACACAACGGCAGAGGGAGCAGAGAGCCCGCTTTAGTCCCACCGTCCTGTCACAGCAATTACCGTCAGCCCCGGTCATGTGACTGACGAGTGACTCCTCTGGCTCCGAGTTGTTCCCATCTCCCACAGTCATGGCGGTGTCGGGAAGCCGCGAAGATGGAGTAAACACCACCACTGCTTCATCTTGATTTTATTTTAGCTTCATGCTGGACTGTATCTACCGTCATTCGAGATATCGCAAACATCCCGCAGGCTGCTGTGCTTCCAATGATGGCCGACCGCAGCGTTGATCTGTCGGCTCTTCCTAAAGAGGTCAGGGACCAGCTGGCGGAGTTGGATCTGGAACTATCCGAAGGTAAGGTTCCCATACAGCGGGTTTAGTAGTTACAGCTGCGGCGGGGATCAATGCAAAAGGAAGTGAAAAGTGTACATCTTGTGTGTTTACATGATCCAGCTACAGATAATCGTCCGGTTGAGCCTCAGTGCTGCTGCAGTGCACGACTACAACAAATGATAAAAACACACTGACCTCCTTTTGAAGCTGTAATTTCTCCATGCAGTATCCTTGTTGCTTTTATAGCACATTAACACGTTTTTTTGCATAGATTACGACAAATAATATTATACGATGTGTGTTTATGTTTGTCATCTGGCATGTTTTAGTTTTTCTCCCACCATTTTTTTGCTTTGATCCATATAATTTGCCTACATACAGTCATACAGTGCTCATCATCACAGCCATATAAGCATAAACACTCCTGTCGAAGAAAATGGGTCAAGTTTGTCATCCCTTAGGCCCTGTATGTGTGTGCAGCCTCAGACATCAGTGGACACACTAAATGATGATGTGGCCCCTCCAACACTCTGATGCCCTGAACCCTGAAACTGCAGCAAATATATAGGAGGGTTATTTATTTGAGAAGAACGGCTGTTAGAAATGGGAAAAGGGCTGTTATGCAAGTCTCCCTCCTCACACTGTGAATCACAGTGCAGCAGCTTGATTGGTGCTGTGCTGCTCTCAGGTGCCTGAGGCTTGGATGAGTAATATTGTGTTTAACATAGAGCCAAGCAAGGGGGACGCCTGGGCCACTAATGATGCCTCAGTCCCCTTTTGCACCTTAGACACACAGAGCTACCTTGACCTCATCCTGCTCATATCGAAGAACAGGTGAAACTTTAAGGAATACTTCTCCCACAAAAGGACCAGTGGTATATCAGTTACTCACTCCGTTTTGCCTTGAACTCTTGAAGAGATTCTTGTTTGCCTCCACAATAAAAGACAGACAATTCTTGATGAATTGAACTAAATGGAGGCTTTATTGAACAACAGCAAATCCATAAAACAATCGGTTTATAAACGTTCACAGAAGTCTTATTCATCAGTTGTATGCTAACTACTTCCTAAAACATTTTCGCTAAAACTTTACTATTTAAACGCTCTTTTGCTGATATTAAAACACAGCTGGTTCTTACTTAGTCATCACGACTTTAGTCGATATTTCCAATTATTTGTTCAATAAAAATGAGAAAACGTGCGATTAAAAACAGTTTATTGATGATTTTAAGTAGATAACACGGGATGGGAAAGTGCATATAATACAATATTTTCTGGGTGAAGTATTCATTCACAATCACATGAGAAAACCCAGGATATAGTAACAGAGTTGTGTTCGGAATATTTTCTCTCAGTCATTCAAACAAATAGGTTTTAAATAGACAAACTAGCTGGAAGTATTTACATTACATGTAATACACTTACATACATACATACACTTACATACTCAATACTGAGGGCAATCCCCACAGGAGCAATTTGGGGTGAAGTGTCTTGCCCAGGGACACAACGACATGCTGACTGCAGTGGGACTCGAACTTGCTCTGATTCGAAGATCAACGCATTAACCCACTGCACCACACGCCTCCCACTGCGCTTTCCTGCACAACTGGCTGTGGGTCTCGATGATTTTCCCACTCACTTGTTCCAATTTAGTTTCTCGAAAGTACAAACATGCTCTGGCTTTTCTACCTATAAGCTACACGATTTATTAAAAAAAACAATACACATTTCTTTGAATAGCCTGCCTCGCGTTTTGAGGTATCACTTTACCTTGACAGTATGTCATTCATTATACAGATTGACGCCATGCTATGCTTTGACCTGAGCTACTATAGAGTTCAGTGTGTGTTCTGGTTATTAATAGACACCAATTAACTATGTGATAATGAGGCTGTAAAATGGAGGAGCGGAAGATCACACTGTTTAACGCACTTAACATGGATGAGAGGCAGAGGATGATTGGAACTCACTGCGTTACAATGTGTATTGGAATACAGTAATTGTAGAAGAATAACAACAATATTTACCATACAACAATTTACTCACATCTTTGTCAGGAATCTTTGTTCTGATTGTGAAACTCTAGAGTCTTGGGAGTTTTGAAACAAAACGATTGTGGAAATATAGGTTAACATTGCTCGAGCTGATAAATATCTGTAATAAAAAGATAGACCTTTTCAGTAAAATTATGATTTGAAAAGACTAAAATCTAACATCAGTTTTTAGTGTGGCCTGCATACGTGCAAAGCGGAGAGTACGTACGAGCCTCAAGGTAATAACATTGACTTGATTCAGCATTGAGTCAAAGTCATGTGACGTTGTTCCCTGTCTCTTATGTTTTACTTTCTTCAGTGTTTCTGCTGCAGTATAACAGTGTTATGCACTAAAGTGAGTACAGTCAGAGTCTCTTGTCTTTGTCTCTTTAAGGCTAAAGTGTAAGTGAGTGGTAAGGTAACACCTCCAGAGTGAATGACCCTCTGCTTTGGACTGCAACTCCATCCTTTGTAACTTTGGATCAGAGACAACTCTTTTGCTAATATAAAAAAGACCCGGTGCTATCCAGATGCCCCGCTCGTGTATCCTCATCTTCTAGCCTTATGAAGTGCGTCTGCCGTCTGCCCATCGCTGTGGGCACAAGGCGAGCAGCAGCTGTCCACCCCTAAGAGTCTGAAACCTTCTCATGGATATCTTTTACATAGCAACAATCACCCCATTGTTGTCCCGATACTTGGGACCCCCCTAACAACAAACTGAAGAAAATCTGCATCAGCAGTTTTTTTTTCAGAGCAATAGTTGTGGGCTGCAGTTTGTGTGTGTGTGTGTGTGTGTGTGTGTGTGTGTGTGTGTGTGTGTGTGTGTGTGTGTGTGTGTGTGTGTGTGTGTGTGTGTGTGTGTGTGTGTGTGTGTGTGTGTGTGTGTGTGTGTGTGTGTGTGTGTGTGTGTGTGTGTGTGTGTGTGTGTGTGTGTGTGTGTGTGTGTGTGTGTGTGTGTGTGTGTGTGTGTGTGTGTGTGTGTGTGTGTGTGTGTGTGTGTGTGTGTGTGTGTGTGTGTGTGTGTGTGTGTGTGTGTGTGTGTGTGTGTGTGTGTGTGTGTGTGTGTGTGTGTGTGTGTGTGTGTGTGTGTGTGTGTGTGTGTGTGTGTGTGTGTGTGTGTGTGTGTGTGTGTGTGTGTGTGTGTGTGTGTGTGTGTGTGACTGTAAGGACACAAAGACAGCCATTGAGGGATCAAAGACTGGAGGATTGAGCCGGACTGGAATGTAGAGCACTGAACAACAACTGTTTAAGCTGCTCTGCTTCATAGTGTGTGGGCATCGTAGTGTCTGCAGCATTCGTATTTATATTGAATATGTGACAATGACCATAGATGATATGCTTGGTACAGATGCTTTTCCAAGAAGATGACAGGCAGAG